CCTTTAAGACTTCCTTCTTGAAGATCGTCCAGCCTTCCTGGACCCCTTTGCCCTTCAGGACGGTCTCCCAAGGGACTCTCTCAACCAGCATCCTGAACAGGCCAAAGTCCGCCCTCCGGAAGTCCATGGTTGCGGTTTTGCTGCCCCCCCTCCTTACTTCACCGAGAATTGAGAATTCTACCATTTCATGGTCGCTAAGCCCAAGATGGCCTCCACAACCACCACATCTCCAACCAGTCCTTCTCTATTTGTAAACAGCAGGTCAAGAAAGACCTTGACATTAAATGCAACCTATTAACTATATGTTTGTGATTTCATCTTCCATTCTGCATGAATGCTGAAATACATCCTATCAGCTCACTAGGAGCAGAAGTTTAAGATATTTCTCCAAGATCCAAAGTGTACTAAAATACGCATCATCTTTTAAAGTCTGGTCATATCTTGTTCACTGATTTATTGATCACTTATTACTACCATGTCCTAAATCCTGATTGTCTCAAAGGAACATTGCTTCTGTAACAATCTAATAATGGTTATTTTCATTAAGTCCTTGTTCCAAACAGCTAATCAGACTATTGACAACATCTATCCATATATAATGTATATAGCCTGATCTGAAAAACAGTAATTGTAGTTATATTAGACAGATTAAACTTCTAGCAATGTTCCCAATGGCAGATGGTAAATAGATAATCTCTGCTGATACATATGTATCACCAATGATAACATAAAAGTGCAACCAAAACTGTGTGTCTAGGAGGGGAAACAGGAGATTAAACAATAGATATATACTACCTAGACAGAATGCAAGAAAAATCCTGTTTATTAATGTAGAAACATGAACTAAACCAGAAGTTTAATCTCTTAGTGGTAGGAGTCACCTTTGACCAAATTCACTCAGTACTTTGAGTGACAAAGGAGAAAGAATGTACCATATCTGGAAATGTAAAGTCTGTTACTGATGGAGTTGTCAATTTCCCTAATCACTCATAATTCTAACAACATGTTCTTTAAATGCAAACAAATAAAGAGAGCTTGTGGCTTCATAAGACACACTGGTCAAAAGTAAAGCAGTGAAGTTGCTGAAAAAGTGCCCGAACAACCTGTCTGCAAGACCTGGCAGAGTCAGACATATCTGTTATCCATCCTAATTTGCAAGTAAATAGGCAGGTATAGCAGGGGCCTGCCTTAGCGGCACAGTGAATATATGACAGAGCTCAACAACAAAAAGGAAGCATATGGGAGGTGGAAGTGGGGACACGAGGAGGAGGAACACAGCAGCATTGCCCAGGCATACAGGGATGGAATTAGAGGGCCAATGCTTGCGTGCAGTTAAAATTGATGAAGGATGTCAAGGGTAATGACACTTTTGCAGCAAAACGGGAGACTGAGTAAAATCTAGGCCTGCCGCTGAACGCAGCAGGTGACCTTGTGACACAGCACACGGGTATGCAATGTCTTCTTTGTCTCAGTTTCTACCGGCAAGGTCTGCTCTCAGGCCTCCCAGAGCTCCACGTCAAGTAGCAAGGATCAAGTCAGGGTCTATTTAAACAAGCTGGAAATGTAGTACAAGTCCATGGGACTGGACAGGATACATCTGAGAGTACTGAGACTGCCAGCAAATGTCATTGGAAGGGCACTCTGTCCCTTGTGAAAGGTCACACTGATCAGAGGAGGTTTCTGACAACTATAAAAATGTTATGTCCATCTTAGAAAATTGCAAGGAGGATCTGGGTGATGACAGGCTGACCAACCTTCTTTCAGTTGCTGGGAAAACGATGGAGCAAGTACTCATGGAAACCATTTCCATTCACCCAATGACAAGAATGTTATTGAGAACAGCCATCTTGAATTTCCCAGGGGCAAACTGTGTTTAGTCACTCCAATTGCCTTCTACAACTACATTACAGGCTCTCTGGGTGAGGTTAGAGTAGTAGGTGTTGTTCTCCTTGTCTTTAGCAAGGCCTTTTATACAGTTTCCTAGTGTCCTTGCAGCCAAACTGGGGAGATATAGGTGGACTACAAGGTGGGTTAAAACCTGACCAGATCATTGGCCTCAAAGGGTAGCTAATAACTGTTTGAAGTCCAACTGGTAGGTGATTCCAAGTGGTATTCCCTGGGATCAGTACAAGGGCTGATATTATTTAACGTTTTCATCCATGATCTGCATGATGAGAATCTTTGGAAGTACAAGGTGACACCAAATCAAGGGGGGCTGTTGGTATACTGGAGGGTATAGCTGCCATTCAGGGAGACCTCAACAAGCTGAATGAGTGTATAACAGATACATCTGTTTTGAAGTTCCAAAAGGATAAATACAAGGTCCTGCATCTGGGACAGAATATACTGACAGAGGAGTGCAGGCTGGGACTAACGGTTCTACAAGAGAGGACCCAGTGGACCACAAACTGAACAAAGTCAGCAGTGTGTCCTTGAGGTAATGAAGACTAACCACATCTTGGACTGCATTAGCAAGACCACGGCCAGCAGGTCAAGGGACATGATTATTGCCCTCTGTTCAGCACATATGAAGCCACATCTGGAGCACTGTGTTCAGTTTGTTCTCTCACCAAATAAAAGAGCGACTGAAGAGAGTCAAGTGAAGTGTCATTAAGATGGCTAGGAGCTTTGACATACAAGGAGGTTGAGATACCTGAGAATACCAATATTCTTATCAACTTTAATGGACTTTTACTGCTAGAGCATTCTTAGCAGCATTCCTTATGGTCACATTATGCGAACAGATGCATTTTGGTAGTCCCATCCACAAGACCTACAACGACCACAGGCATATATTAGAGCACATTAATGCCACCAGTGCAGTACCTGATGATGTGCCACAGCAAACTTTGAACTGGGTTCCATACAGACATTAAAAGATAGCCTGAAGGTGGTACTGTCTCTGTGCTGCAAGCAGAAACTCCCATGGATCCTGACAAACTCACGCCTGCTCAGGGACCGTTGCAGAGAGAAATGATTTGTACATCAAAAAACAAACTGGCATCCTACCCATGAATGATTTTCCATTTATAGTTGCAAAGGCACTGCTAAAGAGGCCAAAACTAGTTTATAAAATATTTCTGCAGCTATAATTGTTTAGGACCACTGAACTGCATGTTCCAAGCCAGATCAAAAGGAGCACCACAAACCCATGAAAGGCTTATGTGTAAAGACAGGGTAAATTCCATGTCTGGGATCCATCTGTAATTCTGTCAAACCAAGAGTCCTTGTAGCTGTATACAAATTAAATGTCTGTCTGCCAAAATTAAGTGAACGAAGAACAAATACCCCCTTATCACTAAGTACAGTAACTACCTTGTTTTCTTTAATGTTAAATATAAAATACCCTTCTTTTACACTGTTGTGAAAGTACAAATCAGATCAGGAGTTATACCAATATCAGACTGACAGTGGTCTTTTTTTAGATTACCATTTTGCTTAAAATGTAGATGTGTAAAGGTATGCTCTATTCTTTTGACTCAAAGTATTACAGCTGATACAGCTGAAGAAGATGTAGCTTAAACTCAAAAGGATTTTGAGGTAACTCTGTATTATTTTCTTGAACAGGTTCAAGGCAAGTATATCACTGATTTACCATAGATTGACAACACAAAAATGGATTTAAGAAATCGCAAATGCAGTTGGAATGAAAAGGCCTGATGTTTTTACGTTTGCAGACTAGTGATATGTGCATGATTTTTCATGCTTGGCCATGTAAAAAAACAGGAATTAATAACTACTTGCAGTGTTAATTCCCTAAATAATTATCACTTATGCATATTAATATTCAATGCCAGTTTTCTCTCTTTAAAAATATTTGCTATTTCAATAACCAGAGATCTCATTTTGGAAGTGAGAAACACTTCCTCTCCATTAAAAACAATATTCATAACAAGCCACTGATGAGGATTATAGCAAAAGGCAGATACAGCTAAATTCTTTAAAATAAACCTGGAACATGCATTGCGAGATCATGAGATCTTCCTACGGTTTGTACTTGTTTATATTTCAGCAGCAATAAACATAGGTATAGCATACATATGCCATTACCTGGAGAAACTTGCTAAAAACTTATTTTGTGTGATTAGAGATAGCCAAAAGGCAGGATATCTAACACCAAAAAAACAGCTTTCTTATTGCTTTATCTGATAAATCCAAATCATTAGCTTTAAGAAAAAAAAAAAAAATCTGTAAACATGAAACCTCCTGAATTCTTCAGCTGCTCAATAAACCGAATAGTTTAGTTTGGTTGCTCTGCAAATACCATGGTCTGTACAAGAGGTAGTTAACTTTTACAGCCCAACTGATCGAGCTTCAAAAAACACATTCTGGGACATGAAGGGTTGAAACTGTGCCTGAAAACTTGACCTTTACATCAGCTGGTCTAATCTAATAAAAGATATTACCTCTCCCTAGAAGCCCTTGCTTTGTTTATGGGCATGACTGCCTGAGATTACGGCACTACTATTACCAGACAATGCCAACTGCAAGGCTCTCCCAGTGCCCAGGGTGGGAAGGACTGCCAGCTCTTCAAGTGATTGTCCAGAAATACCCTCACCTTAGGGATCCCCGTGCAGTACCGATATCTCCAACTTCACTATTTTCAACAGAGGGGACGTGAGACACTCCCATTGTGCACCTGGGTGGGACTGCGGTGGTGTAAAAGGGGTGGCAGCGCCGGGGATGCGGAGGTGCTGTCTGCAGACGGCATGGTATTCCCCGCTTGAGCCTCAGCCTTGCGCATCTGCACGCCATGTCGCCGCTTACACGCATCTGGGCAGTAGTCTAAGTAGCTGCTGGAACAGTTATTAAGATATTGTTACCCACCCAGCACAGCACTAATTAATTTCTAAATCAGTGGCCCACAGCTTTTGCTGGACAGACACTCGGCAAGATCCCCTGAATGCCCTCGGGCTTTCCTCTCCCCCGGGACCCTCCCGGCTGTCTCCGCCTCCCCTCAGGCGAGGCCGGTGCCGGGGGCCTCACAGCGGCAACGCCCCAAGAGCCGTTAACGGCCTCCTCGGGACCGCTCCGGGCGCGGAGGGCGAAGCCTCATGGAAAAGGGTGCCTCACGGAAAGCCGCTGTAAAAGCCTCGTCGGAAGAGGACACTTAAAAGCTGCCCTGAGGGCGGCCGGGGAGGGGGAAGCCGCCCCTCGGCAGCCGGCCCG